CTGAACCGAAAAACTCGGGGAGTGATCCTCCACTACGGTTGACCCTATCTGCCTGAGATTCGCTACTGGCTTGTTCATCGATATTACTTTTCCGAGCCCCGGCGGAGCCAACGTTTGTCGGCCTCTCTGGGTCAGAAGCTGTCTCTCACGTCGCCGTCGGCGGACTAGCCTTGGGGACTGGACGGGTGCCTAGACTTGATGTTGACGGAGAGTAGTGCTTCTTTCATGTCTTAGTTTTTCATGAGGCCGTCTTCGTCGACGGCGGCGTCTTTGCTTAACGGAACGGACCCCAGCTTTTCGCCGGGTACGTCGTTGCCGGAGCCCCGACTTCCTTCCTTCTCGCAGGTCGGAAGCGCTCAGTTTCGGTACCTAGACCTTTGCAGAAGGGAACCTGGGGTGACTGCATATTGCTGGATTCACCTGCTGCCAGACACCGAGTTCGATTCGTCTCTAGGTGCACCTCGGTGGCGGACATGCATCCAAGCCACATGCTACAAAACCTTGTACAGCTGAAGCGAGTTTCGAATATTATGCGAGATTTCACTCCGTCCGAGCTAAGGAGTCCCGCTGTGGAGCCATCTACAATCGCATGTCCAGACGGCGCCCTTACATCTATCTTCCAAGTGACACCCACGATGTACGGCAGAAAATTGTGATGCGAGTGGGAAGCGATCGCGCGCAAATCCTTCGCTGGTATGCCACCTCAAGCCCCGCATAGTTGAGGTGCAGCCTCAGTCGTAGACTCGGTACTGGGGCTTGTGGCTTGCATCTGGTGCCTACGACAATATACTGACAGTGATGATCGTCTCGCCTACGTCTCGCCTACTTGTTCATCTCCTCCCAAAATAGCACACGCGTCTTCCTTCTGTGACCTGAAGATCCCTCCGATCGTCTTCGGATCTTCGTTTAGATGGGGTTGTATAGTGTTCTTTGCATTTTCGCAGGGACCAGCTAAGGGACCGCCCAATCATCCTCCTCCCCATCCAATGCCCAGCTCTCGTGCCCCAAGATACTTACCCCCAATCCAGCAAGGCATCACAACACAACTGTTTGCATGTTTCACTACTATCTGTCCATCAGGGACGTCATATTTATTGAGCTTCGCGCCCACCTACCTAGACAGAAAGAAACGGCTGCATAAACCACCCGAAATGGATCGACGTCCGGCATTCGCTTACGAACTCAGGCAGAGGAACAGAACTGGTTTGCTCCTCCCCGCTGGTGTGTTCATCTAGTTTCATGTCGTGATGCGTTGGATCCCTGCACGTCTTGTGACTAGCGTATCTATGAAGAGTCTCCACTCTCAGGAGCCCCGTATTCATCTTTCGTGGAGGAAAGTGGATGTGTGCGCCTGATGTGCGCCTCACCGCAGAGCATCGCCACGGACGGTACTCGGAATTCATAAACGCTGCCATACTATCGTCCTACCGGGCGCGATGTGAATATTCTGAATTCACGCCTAGTCGTCCCCGAGCTTATGTAAATTCCGACGTAGAGCCTCTCTATTATCTGTGGAGCGAACTATCATACAAACCCGTGGGTAACATCAAAAGGAAGCGCACGAAAGGCGCATAGCCGCCGAATCGCCAAGAATCACAAGTCCCCCTAGGACAATCCGCCGGTTCTTGCTCTCATTCGCTCTGAATGTGTTCGACATTGTTATACGCTCAGAATATAGGCCTCTCACCAGTGTGTACACGCCAAAATTCAATAGGATTGGCCACATGGGGTGTGACGTGCTTCTAATCGCTTCTGGAAGGAACCCAATCATGAATGACCGGGATGGGTGGGAGGCCCATTTTCCAGGCCGTAAGACATGTCGTGGACATACAATTAGTTCCACCGTGACGTTCTAGTTCTTTCTTCCCGTCTGAAATTGTTATGCGCCCAAGAGTCCAGTAGCGCCTTCGCTGCCGCGGAGTTATTCCTTCGGTCTCTGATGCTTCTATCCGAGTACGCAGCGCCTCCAGAGAGTGCCTGAGCTACGAGACCACACTGCCTCGTATTGTAAAAGATGGGTGCAATCTAACGTTGGAGAGAATGGTGCCTTCCGAGTGTGAACGAATCAAATCATTCACCTCCTTCAGGTTGTTCGCGCTGCCAACGCTCAGTAAATGATGGTTCCCGTCCCTTAGAAGTTTTTATTTGTCTGTACTCGTGTCTTTCGCGTGTTGATTAAGTTTCTTGAACAGCTTTCATCCTGGACACTGGTCGCCACGCGTACCCCGATTTGGATTATTGAAAGGGGAGTAGACTTCGCTTCGATGGCATATACAGTAGTAACTGAGCAACCGGATTCCGGAATATTTTAACGTTAGAGAAAACAGCCAAGAAGGGTTGAATGTTGCATCTGCAACATGTGGGTGGTTTGAGAACGCTTATTTGGGACTAAAGAGGTCGCACGATGCCCTCAAAATTCCTGTTTCAATTTCATGGGTCATGATAGCCAGTTCTTCAAGAAAGTTGCCCAGAAGCTCTCAAAGTAGTACACATAACCAGGAGACATCTATAATTTATTTTCCGGAAGATGTATTCACTTAAATAAGATTTTGGGCCCGCGTCAATGAGTGCCGACAGCTTCTGCATTCTCTTTTAAAGCATACGCCTTAGGTTCAAGTTACTGGAAGAAGCGCGCTCCTTGAAAGACACAAAGTTTGCATTTAAAAAATATGCCAGGCATATTACATGTTAATAGTCTTCTATAATACTCAATTTTTTCAACGATGAAGACATAACTGTGAGGGGGAAGGGCAAGACCTTCGGGCAACCTTCGGGACGCCGAAAGGTTCTCCAGTCTCTTGGCGTTGATCGCGCACGTGCCGTTACGCCACGCGACAGTGTCACGCACCCAAAATGGCTGCGAATGCCGGCTTCACTCGGTAACTAGATAACCGATGTTGTCGTCTGTGGGACACAATATGCAAGTACGACGAGCGGGTCAATTCATTTGTCGCTAGCTTACGCTTGAAGCTGTACACTTGAAACGCGTGCGATGTGAAGGAGAGTATTCGACGTAGAGTCTCGGGCCGCCGAAGCGCTGCACAAGCTCCCAAGTATCCCGAAAAGATGTAGCCTAGTAGGTCTCCAGATTTTATACGGGGAATCACAGTTCGTAAAAATCGTCAGGGCCAATGAACACTAGGCGAGTAGCATGAAACACCAAGGCCGTTCATCTATACAGCTCGACTCCTGCGTTTCTTTTATGTTTTGTCGAAACTGGCCGCCGCCACTTTGCAGCTGAGAAATCCGTCGAGGACATATCCTGATGCGGAACGATTGTGATGGATTGACGAGGGTTCAGTACAGTGCACCATGCGGTGCACAGAGCCAGCCGAGGCCATGTGAACCGGCAGGATGCCCTCTTTCCGGGCTGTCGACCGTTTTCGTAGTTCGAGCGGGAACATCGCCCGATCTATGATGCGCGAAGGGCCTTTGAGCTGCGTTCCTGGATTCCGAATCTGGGTTTGGCTTTAGGGAACGTTAACGGAGAAGTGGAGTTCGAAAAGGCGTTCCTAGCTGCTGCAAAGCTTCCGCCTCGCGTCGAGCTTGGGAGGACGGCAGCGAGGAGACGCTGAAGGTTTCGTAGGCGCTTATGTGCCCTGCCTGTGAAGCGCCGTCAACGCCTAATTTCCCCTGATTTTAGTGCGCCACATAGCGTGGCGCACGGTTGTAAGGGTTGTGCGGCCAGGCTTTGCGTCCCTCGACGCCCTGTGAGTCACTTCGAGGGTGGTGTCAATGGACAAGGTTTCTAGCCGGGACGGGAGCCGGGGACTGTTCCTGAAGGTCATTATCACCTTGATCGCTGATGATCCTCAGCGCATCTGAGCCGAGGGGTCCCACTTCTATATCCTGGTATCTGCACACCACCTCAGGTTGCCAAAAGCATTTACTCCGGGTAGTTATGTATGAGGCTTCCCCAGTTATTCTTAATGATGGATGAGCAGTGCGAGGGATCGGGAAGGGGCCTCAGTTCCTGACAAGCCGAATCAGCATCATACTGTGAAGGCATGTATATTCATTTTGACATCTGCTACTACCAGTCCATCAAGAAGACGTTCAAAAGTCCGTAGAGTCCATTCGTGAAGCACTAATAAGTACTTAAATATATCCTACCCGAAAATAACCGAAGCTCAGCGTCCATACAAAAGATAATGTACACTATAGACGATTTCTAGTTATACTTATGTACAAGTCCGCGAGGCGATATTAGAAGGAAATCGCAATAAGTAACGTCTGTGAACAAAACGCAGAGTTGGGGAGGATAGGCAAGAATAATGAACATCGTACGGAAAGAAGAAAGTCCCGGCGGTCGTGAGTGTCTATACATACCAAAGATCTACTTGGGCAGGTGCTTCGAACGCGGCCTGATTTTGTTCTTCCTGAGCGCGAGAGGTCGAGGCTTGCCCCTCAGCCGTGCGTACACTCCACATGCGTTGCACAGCTGATCTCCGGACTTGCTTCTTCGCCAAACAGAAGTGTGGTGAGTGCGGCAGTGGCTGCACTCTGGCCCGACGTAGTTCGCGTCAGACTCTTCCGAGGTGCTGCCATCGTCATCGGCGTCGATGAGCTCCTGCGGCCGCAGTTTGTTGCGCTGTTGCAGGTACAGACCGCAGGCGTTGCACAAGGGCTTCATGGTCGACGGGTCCCGTCGCCAAAGGGGGGTAGTCGTAGCGTGACAGTGCGAACAGCTCTTCCCTGACTCGGGCCGATCTTCACTCAACTTTCGACGCGAGCATATGGGGGAACTTGCAACGGGCAGGATCGGCTTGATGTCGTACTGTTCTGGCGACGGGGAGGGCGAGAAGCCCGGAGAGAGGCGATGAGGGAAGTTGTATCCGTTGAGAGGAATTGACTGCTCCGGTGGGGTGTAGATGGAAGAGGAGGTCGAGGAATCGGATCCAGAGAATACCATATTGTCGTAGGAGTTGAACTGGGGGATCTCGACATGTAACTGATTGTTCCACGACGATGGTGGAACCTGAGCGTTCATGGAAGGAGGTTCGTTGGCGTCGACGTCCCAACCACCCCAGCTGGACATGGGGGACTGGATGTCGACTGAGGAACGAGGATATTGCGGTTGGAAACTCTGAGCACGAACGAACTCTGGAGATCCGATGTATGGTGAAGTCGAGAGTTCGGAATGGGGTGAATGGACCATGTGGGACTGTGGTGGCACCAGGCGGCAGTCGACGCGACGATCTCGGGGGCGGTAAATTGGGTCGACCGAGGCGGTCCACCGGCGTTGCGTTTCGTTGCGCGTCAGTGACCCGACACCCGCGTTGTACGACTGGGCGCCGTCTGCGAGATGGAGGGTAAACACTGAGCATAACCGCTGGTACTGTATCGCTCACCGTATGGCCAACCACCTGAAACACCAGCGTTCGAGTACATCGGCGGCGAGGAGTAACCGCACATCATGGACGGGTTGCTTGCTGAGGAGAGCAGGGCCTGCTCCTTGTCGACGGCGAGGAGGTTGTTGGAGAGTTGGCGAGCGTGCACCATGGTTTCGTCAGGTACGAAGTGACAATAGCGGGCAAGCCTAGTCATTGGGAGTTTATATAGAAATCGACGGGGGCGAGTTGGTTTCCCCCCGAGGAAGTATCGAGATCGATGCAGATCCAAAGACGGACCTGTGACGTTGGGCTGTCAGAGGAGGTGCGAACTAGCCCGTGGTGGGTGGTGGAGGAGGAGGATTTGCCCCAGCATCAACAAGCGCCTCGAGACCTGGTCCCTGTCTCGTAGCCGAATCGCAAGCCAGCCGGTCGGTCCTCTACCCCCATTCACATTTCCCCGAATGTATCCAGATTGATGGGAGTCTCAATCCTGGACGAGAAAGGAACATGCGTCCGCCGATGGTGGCCTAACGTAAGGTGCAACCTCCTACTTACCGACGGTCTCGGGATATTGCGTATCCAAGCCTATTAGAGAGCGCATGACTCGACGGATACTCCATCTTTTCATTCATCATCAAGGCTGTGCCGTGCTTCTGTGATTCAGGGGGATTGGCGTCTGGAAAACATATCCGGAGGGACGTCGGTCTGGAGAACGGATTTTGAGCCCACAGAAGCAGTAACAGGACCTCTTCTCGAGGGACGTCGTCAATTAGTTTAAACCATCATCCTAGATGGGCGGGTGGAGCACGTCAATCTCCCTCCCATCACTCTCAGGCTTTTTATCTCATCTATACGAAACAAAGGAAACCCCAATCTCACAACCGAAGCCACGGCTGCCGGCCCTACGTGTAGAACTTAACAATTGATATCGTCTGAAGAATTTCGCGGAATTCTGACGGCAATATAGCTCGCACAGGTTCGCATACGAATATGCTCGACGCACAACCTACCTCACGCCTCATTTCCACTGTATTCCTTGTGGAGATGATAGCCATTCTTTGGAGGCGAACCAAGGAGTCGATTTCAGTGGAGCTTTCAAGCGTTTCAGCTTGTTTCTGAACCCGGAAACTGTCACTCTCAATCAGTAGAACAATTGACTTTCACGTTCTCTTATGATGGCGAGGAGAGATCGTTATTCACTCACGGCGAGGTCACGATGGACGCGGCATGCCGTGAATCGAGCCCATGGGTGCTAAGCCACATCCCACCCCGTCAGACACGATAATTTCCCCCCAACCCGCACCAGCGGCGAACAAAACGCGGCAGAAGAAGAGTCTAACGAGCGTTAAATAACAGCGATTTTGACGCACCTCAGCGCGGCAGCCTTCAGGTCTGCTATGATCTGTATTATGTCTCTCTGACAACAGATGTCACGACCCATGTTTCGCAGGGGAAAGAAAACATATGTGATGTGCAGACGCTCGCTTGGTCAAGTCCGGACGCGGACATCCCATCACTCAGGCACAAACCCCGGGCTCTCGAGGCGGAATGTCGACAGGAAAGAAGCCGTGCGCCTTCCTTTTTTCATTGCGGTGATGTTGAATATTCAGAATAAGGGACCCCTCCTCCGTGAACGAACGAGTCCAGAGAACTGATGGACCGGTTTGAGGTAAAGGAGCCGGCCTCGCACGCGAAGGAAAGACCCCGCCATCGCGTTTCCCATTGGAAGATGGACGGTCCAGGCCCCAACACACGCCCTCGCCTTACGGAACTATCATAGTTGGGTGAACTCTCATCCCACCCACGGACAGCGGCCATCGGCAAAGAAGGACGACATCCTCGACCTTCCCACAGAAAGTGACCTGAAGAGCTGCTGTTTGGCAGGAGCTTTCACAAGCGCGAAATCTGTCGCTTTGGGCGTAACATCTATGCCAACGCCTGGTCAAAAATCAAGTCAAACGTCAACAACGTGTTTCAGGAGGGAGGGTACTGACTGACTGACGGAGAGTTAGCGGGATTGGAGCGGGATTGAGCCTCATCACCCGCTTACGCACGGAGGTACCTCGTATTCAGTGGTTCATGAACACCTTTCATAGCCGTTCTTTGACCTACTTGGTCTATGGCACTGATGGGATCTGATCCCTGCGTCGATAAAGTACGGAAAGCTGTGGGAGTGCCTTTCGGGTTCGTTCGAGCGAAGGCAATCCGAGCTCCTCCCGTGATTGATTCAGTTTGGATGTGTAGGCCGAAGAGAGAGCTTGAGGCTGCTTGAAGACCTTTGCTCTGGAGCTGTCATTTTGACGTTTCGACA